AAACTGTTTCGTCGGAGTTTCACCGACTCATCAGGAGGCTGAACCCTCAACAGTCTGTAAGTGATAATCCACCTTAACCAAAATCAAAGTAGACTATCACTCACCCACACCAGATGGAAAACTCTACAGACTATATATATATATATATCGTCACAAACAGAACTGCCCGGTAAACCGTAGGCAGAGAGAGAGAAGAGGACAACAAACGAGGGGCTGTGACAAACTGTTTCGTCGGAGTTTCACCGACTGTATATATATATATCATCATCCAGGATTGTTTTTCATACCTGTCCTCCAGGTTCTTTTTTATTTTTTTTTGCAGACAAGAATGCTTGACATCCTGGTTGGTCTTGTCCTGTCGTTTGGCCTGGGGCCAGGGGCGGTGCTTGCATGTGGGACTTGTCATCTGGGATCTGTTTTGTTGCTCCCTGTTCTGTATTATTTGGCTGTTCCCTTCCTCTTTTCTTTGCCTCGTTGCCTTTTGGCTGTGTGCAAGTGGGTCGATATGACACACGGGGGCGGGGGCAGCCGCCGCTCAACCTACATCCACGTGGGCGGCCTTGTACGCAAGAGGTTCTGAACAGGGGGAGTTGTAAGGAAGAAGATTAAAAATGAATTAGTTTTTCTTGTTTTCGTTGTTTTCTTTCATTTTTCGCTTCGGCGCTCTGATATCATGTGACAATATATATAGAAACTCCGACGAAACAGTTTGCCACAGCTCCTCGTTTGTTGTCCTCTTCTCCCTCTCTGCCTACGGTTTACCGGGCAGCTCTGTTTATATATATATACATATAGTCAAACAGAGCTGCCCGGTGAACCGTACGCAGAGAGGGAGAAGAGGACAACAAACGAGGGGCTGTGACAAACTGTTTCGTCGGAGTTTCACCGACTCATCAGGAGGCTGAACCGCCAACAGTCTGCAGAATCCCCTAACTGATTACACTGTAATTGATAATCCACCTTAAACCCGGTTCTGTGGTTGAGCATCGACTTCCCGACAACTGATACCCTGAGGTGGGCACAAAACCATACATATACATGTGAGGGTTTAACCCTCAGCATAAGGCCCTGCAGCAGGCGTGTGCCCGCCCTGAGTGAAGGCGGGCCCCCTGAACCTTAATGTGCCCTGAACTCGTCAATTTTTGCAAATCTTGGTGGGCGCCAGACAGTTGCCACGCGCCAGTTGTTTACATCCGCTTTGCTCGTGAGAATCGAAAATATGCGAGAGCCTTCCAGGCTCTTCCAGCGACCGCACGTTTGTGCCTGGGTGGTTGGGCATGCCTACCCAATTCGATCCCAGGCCACTGTCTGAACGGGCCTGGGCGCAGACACTTCGGTCGAGACTGAAGCTACTGGAAACTCGGTCTCATGGGGCAAGAAGGGGAATGCGCCCGCCACTTTCCATATAGGGGCTGGGCTTCCGCATGCACATTCGGGCACTTGGTAGAGCGGGCGGCAGCGCTGCTGGAGCGAACGCTGCATGCTGCTGCTAGCGCCAGTGCAAAAGCGTGCACGCGTGCGGTAATGTGTGAGGAAGGGCGATGCTGTAGCGTGATAGCCCAGCCCACGTAGCCGGGCTGGGGCTTGGACAGCCAGCGAGAGGTGGTCTTCGTGTAAGAGGGAGAAGACGTGGGTGATGAAGTTGAGGGTGAGAGAGAGAGAGATGAGGTTGATGATGTGAGGGCATGTACCTGGTCTTGGCGGTGGTCTACAAGGTCGACATCTTCATGTACTTCGGTTGTTGCTGCTGACGTCAACAGGATGCATTGTCATTTCATAGGCTGCTAGTAGCTGTGTGACCGTAGTCTGGGCGCTGAGTGCCAAGTAGGAGGAAGGGCTCTGGATACATGTGTTGGTGGTGGCGAGAGTATTCTCTCATTGACATCCGGATTCAGTGTTGTGGCTCTCCATTGTTGGAATATCAGTGCATTTCTGCTTTCTGGACAGCGTTGGACATGCTGGCGTTCAATGTGATTTCTGCATTTTGGATTTCTGTCATTTTGCTCATTTTCCTTGCAATTTGGTATCGGAGCTGGTTAGAGTCGCTCCACTGCTCCTTCGCAATAGCTGTTTGGTGCTTCACTGGAAATGGTGGGCCAGTGATAACTCTTGTGCGTTTGGTTGTGACGGCGGCCCAGTGTCATGTGGGCGCGCCAGGAAGGCTATGTGGTGACATAAGGGGTGCACACTGGATGGTGAGAGCTTGCTGACGTGGCATTTAAGCTGAGGTGGATCTGCATTGTATTCTGGGTTGTGTCGAGGCATCGACCGGTCATCATAAATGTACGTCAGGTTACTGGTGAGAAATCTGTTGTTGGGGGCAGCATTATGAGGTACGTTGCTCCTTCCCTTATCTACCCTCTTCGTTGCTTCTTAGTACCACAATGAAGTGAGTTTTGTCTTGACAGTCCTCTCATCGTGAGGTGTCATGAGCACTCGATCTTGAAAGTCGACATTCTTCCTGGGGAGCAAGCTGGTGGGAGATGGGCGTTGCCTCTGAAGGGCCCTGGACGAAGCACTCGGGTCACGGTCACCATGCCAACCCGCTGGGACTAGTACACGCATGCTTTTTTGCCGCTTGTCCTTTGGTCTGCTTGCTGCGCTGTAGAGGCCATGTCGGACAGGCCAGCCCTATGAGGGAGAGACGAGTACCGGACCATCTATAAAGAGACTTCGGCGGGGATACACGACTCGTGCTGTACGCAAGTATACAAATAGTATGGCCGGGGCTGGCCAGTTCTGCATTGACTTGGGTACAGAGTGGGCCGATTGCACACCTTTGAACACGCCGCTGGACCAGAGCTTCAGGACATCGACACAAACTGACCTGACTACTCACGAGGGATACAGGGGGAGGGAAAATTCCAACAAACTGTTCAATTGTTAATTATTGTAAAATTTCATTCTGCACACTAGCAAATGATTTTATTTTTATTGTTGATTAGTTAGTTGCTACAGATCTTGTTTACAACTAACAGACTGCTGCAGATAGCGTAGGAAATATTCTACACTGCATAGCAATCTGTTTCAGACTGGTCAAAAGTAGGAATCAAATTGTTTGTAGGAATCTCAGATTATCTCCTCTTACCGCTTGGCTACTTTCTAACAAAGCTGGACCAAACATTTATTTTATTTTATTTTAATCGGTTGGACGCCATGATGCGGTAGGTCCCAGTTAGGACTCTAGTACAGATCACAGGCCACACATAGAGGACAGTGAGGTTGAAGGATTAGACCAGGGAGAGAGGAGACTTACCCGTAGACTTGCGCTCAGCCGGCCGATCACTTTCTTGGTGTTAGAATCAGTAGAGGAAAGGAGACTGCAGAGAGAAGCAAGGGAGGGGCATATTGCAAACGGCAAGGGAAGCAGCAGTCGATGCTGAGAGGGCACTAGCAGCAGCCACAACAGCACAAGCTAGAGCCACAGCAGAGGCAGCCATGGCTACTTCGTCAGGTACCAGTTCGGGTATGTCAGGGTCTTCCACTAGTCAGTCTGCAAACTTGCAGGTCAGCCAGCAGCAACCCATGTCAAATGAGGATTACGAGATTGCTGAGGCAAACGCACTCGATGCAGAGCTACAATGCCAGTTACATGATGTAGAGGAAATAAGAGAAAGAGCTAGAATTACAAAAGCTAGACTAGGGGCAAGGATGTAGGAACTAACCACACTAGAGGCTGTAGATGAGTCATCACTAGATCCTGTTGTCAGGACCCTTTGGAACTCTCTATTGAGCGTTGCCGAAGCACAGGTCGTATAACAGGAGTTGTTGGCCGAGCTAGTAGCCGGCCAGAATAGGATTCTGGCTGTGGTGCAGGCGCCTCGACTGACGGTGAGGCCACCGCATGTTGCTGTAGTTCCCCCTATGGTTGCAGGTACTTAGTTGACACTGTCACCGGTGAGACCATCCTTTTCCCCTCGGTATGGCATACCTCGAGGTGGTTTAACAACAGGTAGTAGCGGGCAGATTCTAGTCCCTTCTTCAGTTCCACATTGAGCAGCTGCTGCTACAGGGTAACCGCACATACAACAACCTTTGCAACAGTTTACCGTTGAAACAGTTGGTGCCGCTGCTGCAGCCTGTTCCACCGGTTTTCCAACCGATGCAGCAGGCACATGGTGTTGTACAGTCCATGCGGTGGACACCAAAGATACCTTTGTTGAGTCCTAAACCCTTCTCTGATGACAAGAAGAAGGAAGAGGACCTTGATACCTGGGTGAGGGCTGTGCCTACATATGTAAGGCACAAGCTCACAAGGACCG